GTGGGGACCGAAATCTTCTAGGAGGTGATCGTTCACGCCTTCTTGGAGGCGTGCGTCCTCGGCGTGCTGGTGATCTGGCTGATTCGGAGTCGGATCGACTGAAAGCAGACTGTGAATTCACTCTGATAGCTAATTAGTAGGAAAAAATTATTGGACCTAGCAAGTCAATAACAGAATGGACAATTACCTTCTCCTTCTGCGCACTTCACCTCTCCTTGACCGACAAGGAGATGAGTGATCGGAACCACTGCGAGATCGAGATCTGAACTCGTGCTTTCTCACTATTGAAAAGAGTAGTAGAAAAAATAAGAAATAAAGGCTGGTTGGTCAAAACGTAGTTTTGAGAAACGATTACTACCTTGCACGAGTTTTCTCACGACGTCGCCTAGGAGATCGGGACCCTGACCTAGCTGAATGGCTTCGAGATCTGAACACTACAAATGTACGGGTGTGGATTCACTAGGACAGAAAGCGACTTTCGCGTTTCGCAGCGCGAAACATTTTTCGCTGCGGGAACCTCGGGTCCACTGATGATCAGCGGTGGACCTGAGGTTCCCGCAGCGAAAAATGTTTGCGCTGCGAAACGCGAAAAAGTCGCTTTCTGTCCTAGTGAACCACACCACAAATGTATCACTACTATTTGGATGGAATCATCAAGATGTAACCATGAGTAGAAATGAAAACGCTTGAGTCTCAAAATCCCTACCTTCTTCTGACATTATCACGTCGTCTTTGAGGAGAACGAGACCCTGACTTGACTGACCCGCTTTGAGACCTGGACCTGAACAAAAGAACTTGGAAATAAAGCTAGCAATTCAGCTGATACATTCGCATCATTACTTTTCAAAAAGATTCCAAGTTTTACGCAAAACCATGAGCTATCTTTTTGGAGGATTGAATTATTAACACCGAAGAAACTTACCGCCTTCGATAGCGGAACGGAGGACTTATACTCTTTTGGGAGTGTTTCTCGCTCTCATCAGAAGACGTGCTCGATTCTGCAACGCTGGAGGGCATCTGAAAGGTTATTGGTACGATGTCGGCTGAACAAACCTAATGAGGCGACTTCGCAAGATTGGGGGGGGGGGGGCATTGTAATCGCAACGCATTCAAAATCGCGTAAAACATATCACTTTCGATTGAACACCGGACGCCTCCCTGGATGCCTCCGCATCTTGAAATAGCGCCCCTATTAAGATTTGAAGGGGTCTATTCCAATAAGGATGCATTTTGAAGCTTCGTGCTATCTAGGGAAGTCCAACACCTGAAGTCGAGAAGAACTTCAAGGTGTTCGGAACAATGCTTTCGTGCCAAAAAGGAAATCAGGTGCATACTACTTTACTTCAAACGTTTATGATAGAGGAAGCTATTTGCCGTAGATTCAAAGCCCACCAACTTGCGTACTCTTCACCAAAATGCCCCTTTGTTGAATATGACCCAACAGAAACCAGAACGTCAACATATAAAATGTTCAGGACGACGGAGACTCAAGAAACCCGCAAATATGCAGCAACCGTAAACCAAGTTGAAACAAGTGCGGGAGTAGAACAACCCAAAATATAAAACGGTCAGATTAAGATGGGATTCCTAGGAAAAAAGTTACTGGCCACCAGCTAGGAAAGAAAATGCGACTTGCTTGCTATGAATTTGGAAGAACTTTCGGCAAATAATCTCACGCCGGCAAGATTAAAGGAGAGCCGGAAGGATTAGCAGCGGAGCGCGGCAGTTGCAGGCAGGGCAGCCCCAGCAGGATGACGATTAACCTTGTGCGCATACTGAGTCGATTCCGTCCGTGTTCACTTATTCTCAGGCCCATAATAAACGTCAGGCGTTCTAAAAAGGGCAAGAGGTGAAGTAGTGGCAAGTGCGGATTTCTAAATGCACTTTCACTGCGCTCCTCCAAGAAAAGGCAACAGGTGATATTGGAGCACTGCTTGGTATTCTTCACTGTTCATACGTAATAATGGAGCGGCAACTTCCAATTTCCGCTGCTTGCGAAACCGCCGCCAGACCCATCAACGGGCCTCCTCCGAAATTCCATCTCGAGAACACGAGCGGTTCACCGCCATACCTCTTCAGCAGTGACAAAATCCTTCCGGCCCGTCAAGATCAAACTCTTTCCATGAGCTTAAGATTACCTGAGAAGAAAACACACGCTCACCTCCACACAACGCTCGCTTCGTTTTTGAAAATAAAAAAATTCATCGGAAAAGTGTGGCCTATCTCGGTGTGTCCTTATCCGTATGTGCACATGTTTTTTACGCAGCAGACTCCAACCTTGGCACTCTGTGCTGCAGCCATGAAGTGATTAGTCTTTTTCTCGTCCGTTCTATCCAGTGCTGTTATTTATTTGAGCGGGTCACCCTGGTCAATGAGCCAGCCTCACTCGCGCTTTTCGTCAAGGCTGCGTTAAGTCACGTGAGCTCGGACAGCAATGAAGGAGAGCTTCGGCAGGGTTCGCTCTGGGACTATCTTCTCGTTTCTGAGCAGTCAAGGATCTTCTTGCTCGGATGGCGCGGAGTGTGTGTTGAGTATACACTAATTGTCAGGGTGCCGAATGAATCTTCCAATGCATGAAGGAGAACGACCAAGTTCTCGTGTGATTTCTGGATTAGAACGTCCAGTATCATGCAGAGCCATGATCTGAGCTTATTCATCTTCAGGAAGAAGTGTACCACAAATAGGCATGATGACGAAATGAAACAGCAAATCGGATCCGAAGTCACCAGTGATGAAAAATTTTTGGCGTCAAAATCATGATTCGCTTCAAGTGTCCACATACATTTTCTGAAACATATGATAGAAAATCCTATTTCAAAAATTTTTTCGCTAAAGCAAAGGATATTATCTGCTTAACTAGCTGGAGCATTCGAAGATGTTCGTTGCGATGAGTTTAAATGAAGGATCAGGGACCAGTCTTTTTCGCAATGAACATAGTTTTGGTGAGGTTCAAGGGCTAATCGATCTCATCACACCTTGTCGAAGTCAACCATTATTCGCCCTGCTTACTCAATGGTTACGATGATGAGGTTACTAGAGCTGATTCTGGGTAGTTTGCTGCCGTCCACTTCATCACATTGGCCTTTCCCATTCTATTATGTTGACGCGATGACGCTCTGCGGATGCGTACTGGGTGAATCGGCAGGGTACGGTATCGCTTATGTCCAGGCCTGCGCTGTCGATTGATTGAATTGCGTTGTGGAAGGTAAAAGGATAAAGGATAAAGCATTTGCCGTTGATCAATCCCTTTTTGGGATGCGGCACGCATTCTACTTCCATTTGTACATTCAGTGGCGTTTGAATGCGATGTGGCCTATACAATGACTTGCGGGGGCCAGCCGATGTACAAGTCAGTGTTTTTATCCTCCCAGACAAGTCTGGTACCAATTAACCGACCCCGGAGGGATGGAAGGCTTGGTTGGCCCGGGCGACTCACGACCCAGGATTTGATCCCCGGACCGCTCGCGTGGTGAGCGCGCCACTTGCCACCTTTTACTTCCCATAACGCTGGCATCACGACGTTAGAGTTTGTGTACGAGTGAAAGTGAGTGGAAAGCGGTATAAGAATATGCGTGTGTTTTTTTGAGTGATTAGCCACGTCTGCGACAGCAGCAGCGCCTTTTAATAAAGCTTTTGCCTCCAAGATGTTGGCCCCTTCTAGGCTCATGCAAAAGTGGGACAAGTTTTTTTGGTGCGTAGCATGATGGGTGTGTGATGCGCTCCTCAAAACCCTGTTAGATCACAGGGCTGCTCCTTCAGCCAGAAATCCCCAATTCATTTGTGATATTCGAGTTTGAAAAGTTCTAGATCAGACGACCATCATGGCAGAGGCGAGCGATTTTCCTTTCTTGCACACCTGCGCTAGTGTTGAACGTCTTCCGTGGGCTGTGCGCGACATCTTGCCATTCCGAACAGGGTAAGCGCGTAGAGTCCAGCTCAAGTTTTGATGGACAAAACTTTGATGATCGGATGCCGCGCCTGGGATCCTGCTCTCGCATCTGCATCCAATGATCATCCAGTTTTTAAAGGCCAAAGGTAGGGCTCGAGAGACCGCTAGAGAAGTCAATTCCCGCGGCCTGGGAGGTGTATGTCGGGGTTAGCTTGCATACCATGGTGGCGCACTATTGCCACCTGTAAACAGCCCGCGCCGGGGGCGCTTCGGTTTCAATCCAGGGCCGCCCCACTCATGGAAATGGTGGTGCAGCGGTGGCTGGCATAAACGTTGTGATAACTCAGCTAGCGTGGGTTGTTGCGCGCATTGAAGCCGCAGTAGAACGGACTGACTCCCACTGTCGTTTCTCCTCCAGACGTGACACACTTTGTTATGTACGTGTCCTCTTTCCCCCAAAGCAGCGCACCCCATGTAGTGCGAGAAAGGGGCGTTCACTGTTAGCGGCCTTGGTCGACGGTTTTTCCTTAGTTTTTTCCCTGCACTTCGTTCACTTCGATCTCGTCGATACGTGCGTTTGAATGCCATAATACCCTTTATCGAGCCCGACATTTTTGCCGTCCCATCACGTGCCCCGCTCAGCGGCCGGGCGGGGGCGAGCCCGGGGCCGCGCGACACTGGGTCGTCCTTGGGCGCTATGTACCCCCTACCCCCCCCCCCCCTCGACGGTAATTTTTTGGGGTAAAAATTGTTTTGAAAGAGGGGGTCGTACGAAAAAATTCCATGAGGGAGGGGGTCGGGCCGTAAAAACTTCCCGAAAAGTAGCAACGAAAGGACCGCCCCTTGGTCCACGTAGATGGCCACTATGAAGATTTTCTTATGAAATGAAATGCGCTCTTCAATTCTAAGTTGGGAGCACACGCTTTGAGCTGAGCAAAGTGTGATTAAATCCATTTGAGTCTGGAGACAAAATGTCTTTTTTTATTGCCCCCCCCCTGTATACCAAAATAACTGGGAATGCGCAATCTGTTGGGACTTTCTTTGTCTCGAACAAATGCTTAGTGGCCTCAAACTAAGCAAAATTCTCACCGTCCAGCCAAGGAGGAACTTCGGATTATCCTCGAAAAATTCCAATTTCCCTATTCTAAGAGTTAGTAAATGAGGGGGAACTCAGATATCTATATCTCTTAGCCAAAAGTTGTAACATTACTCAAACTTATTGCAAACGAAAAGACAGCTTTACCCATCAAAAAAGAACAAGCCCAAACTTGAAGAAGCACTTTCAGGCTTCCCTTATGTGAGGAACTCACAGTAAAAGATGTTTGAAGAATAGCCATCATAAGTACTCCAATGTTCCGGGTTTATATAACACCGCTAAAAACTTGAAATCTGCGCAAAGGAATTAAATTTAAAGGGTGTCGCCGGGCATCGGGCAACATTGTCACCAATTTGTTAATGGTGTCCTCGAGGCGAAAATTTTTGATGTATTCCATTCCAAAGGCTTCATTAATTTTGTCTTCATCCCTATTATGCTGCATGGAGGCATTATGATGGGGGAAGGGTGAGGGGGGGGGGCTGTATTATTTTGCGCATTTTTGCGTTCCTTTTGGCACCATTCGTTTTACAAAAATAATACATTACAAAACCTGCATTATTCAAGCTAAATATCAAATACCTTCGAGCTGACTATTGGTACGTGCTTGGAAATCTTCTCAATTCTTAGGAAAGATGACATCCCATTGTGGGGGTCTTAGTAATTATGAAAACTGTACAATTTTGAGTATATTTTTTTAGAAAGATGATTAAGTCGTACCATATCAAACAACGCATAGAAAAACTATAGCAATAAGTCATAGTTAAGAATGCGAAAATGGAGAGAAAATAAAATGAAAAAAGTGGTGATGACCGCGCACACACCTGCTTATTATAACTTTGTCCACTTTGCAAATCAATAATGATACATGGAGATCAAAACAGTCGGTCGCATTTCAATATATCCAGTCGGTCGGTCAAATGTATCCTAAATATCGCTTTTGATACTTTAGCGGATGAAATTATTTTAGGGCGGAGAAAATGTTACTTAACACAAATTGAAATTTTGAAAATTTGAAATTTTGAAATTCGAGCAAAAACAGCAGTAGGTATTTTACGAAATAAGGATGTTATGCTTTCTGCTTCCCTTATTTCTTCCCCTATCGAAACCACTGGCTGCTGAAAATGAAATGTTTAGTTCTTGCTGTCACTAGCGAAAGTAGATAAGTTCTTTAAAAATAATTCTGTGTTAGCTTGCACCTAAATGCAGGGTGAACAGAGTAAGCGCTAAATTCTGTGTTACAGAGCGTGTTTTTCTCAATCGTCTCAGAGAATTTGGCAATGCGATTTCGAGTACGATCCTTCAGGAGCTTGCTCCATCAGGTACTGGATACTTTTTTCTTCAAAAATCGAATAAACAAACACCCTACTTTATGATAACGGGGCTTCATTCATGCCGTAGTCTCTAGTTTATACAGAAATGAGGATGTCTCGTAGGACGAATACTATAATCCACCTTATCATCAATTATCAAGCCTCACAATGAAACAGATGGTGCTAGACACTCTGATCATAGAAGGCACTGGGCACAGAGGTGAGAGAACAGACGGACAAATTAAGGGAGCATAGCAGAAGAGAGAGCGCAGACACGTTGCATAGGCAGTTGTATAATGAGCCACCAACTGAAGCCTTCACGGCATAACTTCTGTGCTTGCGAAAACTGCTTAGTCATCACTGGAAGGATTGCCTCAGTGAAGAGTAAGCAAGAGGCGAAAAACTACTGCATTGAGCATTTCACATACAACTGTTTGATAAAGTTCTGCGGAAATTGAAAGGAGAAGAATTTAAGGACGCATCGTACTTCGACAATCCGGCACACACGCCCGGCAAGCTTATCACACGTTTGGCTACTGACGCTCCCAATATCAAAGCGGTAAGCGTCATAACATTTCTAAAAGTCATGTCTAGATCTAAGCTTTACAGGTCGTTGATGGTCGTGCGCTTCAAGTCATCTATGCTGTGACGGCTATAATTGCATGTTTAGTAATCGGATTTGTCTACTGCTGGCAGGTATGATTCCGGATACGTACAAATAACACTACTTGAATACTGTAAAAACCGTTTGTCCCCAGGTAACGCTGCTCGGTATGGGGATGTTGTTTCTCCTGGCTACGACTATGATATGGCTGGCACTAACAATCATGAAAAAGAACATTGAGAATGTTAAGAATGACGAAGCAGGACGAGTAAGTTCGTTTCTAGTGAGAAAATGAGCCCATTTATTTTTATTTATGAACTTACAGGTCAATCATAAAAATAGGTCATACCTCACCTCCCCCGCTCGACGGCATTTTTGGAGGAAAAAGTGGGCGGAGTTTGGTGGGTTGAGTGGTATCAGAATTAAATACTATAGAGACGATGATGGTGGTCGAGGTGTGGAAAAGGGGGTCGTATCAAATCCACCTTGGGGAGGGGGGTCGTAAAAATTTTTCAAAAAGTAACAACGATAGGGGGCGGAAGTGGTGTAGTGGCAAGTGGCGCGCTTACCACGCGAGCGGTCCGGGGATCAAATCCTGGGTCGTGAGTCGCCCGGGCCAACCAAGCCTTCCATCCCTCCGGGGTCGGTTAATTGGTACCAGACTTGTCTGGGAGGATAAAAACACTGACTTGTACATCGGCTGGCCCCCGCAAGTCATTGTATAGGCCACATCGCATTCAAACGCC